TTCGTCCGACTCTGTGAAGGTGGAGTCCGTCCGTGCATCATCTTCTTTAATTAATTTGTTTATGGTGTAGCATTTCCAGCTGACATCTTGCTTTGAGGACACATGATGACACACTTGCATGTACTCTCTCATCAACAACCAAACAATACAGTAATTCACAAAGAAAGCTTGTCTGATCTTTGAAAATAAATCAATAACATCATGTTAATCTATTCCCAACTGACTCCATATCCAGGCTGATAACAGCGGCTCTAGTTTCAATCAAACTGCTTTTCTCAGCTATACACAAAATGACAACCAAGACAGGGCCTCGCCCAATAGACATGAAAAAAGCAATTAACCCAAATATCACCCTATAATCATGGCTCAACTGTGGAGCTAACTGATACCCGCTTTGCTAGCGATCGTCCCCATTTTGGCATCAGAGCTTTTTGGAGGGAAAACTTGGAACATCTGGTGGAAGCAGACAGGGGCTGGCGCTACACGATGGGAGAACAAGTGCCTGAAAGCTTCATTATGTCCCAGCTGTTGGGCTTGCTGTTGCCCTCAGCAATAACAACCACGGCAGGATGATGTTCCTGGCAAATGCACTGCAGATTATTTGAAGCAAGACCTTTTTTTTGTGGTGTTTTGAAAGGAAACATGAGCAGGAGCTATTGGTAATTGTGTTGAGTTTTTTCTCTGAGCCTGTGTGCATGAAAGGGCTGAGTCTTTAAGGACCAACATAACACATTCTTTCTTTCTTTCTTTCGATGCCTATAATGCCATTGAATTATTGATGGGCTATACAAGTAAGACCTGATTTAACTAAAAGAGCTCAAACTAAATATTTAACTTGTAATCTTACTACTCACCTAATCTTTTTCTACAAAATATGTTAGTTGCGTGGCAAGTTTCCCAACTCAAATATCCTTCCCACTATTGGATGCATTGTCATTAAACTGAGTACAGTGAGTGATCCATGCTTCCCTCAGGACAAACTTTCTCAGAAGAACTCAGGTGTCACTTATCTAGTACCTGTGTTTGTGACCAAATATCTGCAAAGTTATTGACATTTCAACAGGCCTCAGTTGTGCATGCTTACATGCTAAACTGGTTGTTCTGTGCATGACCTGTGTCCTCACGGGCCCTGAATCTCACATGTATTCACCTTAAAAGGTAAATTAAGGTTGTATTGACCACTACTTGAATAAAATGCGTACTATATAGACAGAGAATAGTCAGTTGGACACGGTGTGGACTCTGTGGAGTCAGGCCAGGTGTTCAAAGTTCAAAGGTTTCCATGTGAACCTTCTCACCTTGTTTCCCATTTCTAACTTTTATTATTTCCTTTTCTTTCCAGCCCGGTGCTGTGGACAGCTTGTTCAAATCGAATGCTATTAGTTCTAGGTCAGCGCCTGGGTTTCCTCTACACCCGAACAACACCTTTTCACCAGGCAGGGATTCCAACCACCATTAATCAGAGTGGTGACAGCCCATGGATGTCAGTAAATATGTTTCCCTCACTGCCTCTTTTCCCCACTTCTTCTCCTCACAGTCTCTCTCTCTGCTCCTATGATCGTTCTTTTTCCCTGTTCTTTTTGGTTTAATGTTGACCTGTTCTTGCTTTGGACTTTATTATTAATATCAATATTTAACAATGGGAGCATTCCTCTTCACATGAAGTTGTATAGGGTGTTTTTGAAGGGAGAGAAACTGAGAACAGGAGGAAAAAGCTCCACCCAGGTGCAGAACGTTGCTTTCAGGGGCAAATAAACTCTTGTTCTTGTTCCCCGCTACACCAGAAACTCTCTTACAACCAGCTTGCATTTGAACATCTTATAAGCTCACATTTCTTTCGACTGAACATAAGTGTTAGCCAGGTGCTTATGAATGTTGTCTGAACAAAACGTCTGCTCAGTTGAGACAGTGTGACAGTTTCCTCTCCTGCACGGGTGGTACAGATGACAAGGGGGATGATTGTTGGCTAGCGTAGTGGCTGGTGTTTGCGTGTGTGTGCGTGTGCGTGTGCGTGTGCGTGTGTGTGTGTGTGACATGCAGGCAGAGGGCCAACAGCAGCCGGTTGGGGAATGGGTGCCCATCTCAGCTGGCATGCCGGGCCGAGTACCTGCTGCTGTCCAGAGACAGCTGTAGTGTAATGTAGCCACCCGTGCAATCAGGTTGGTGGCCACTGAATGCTGATAATGCTGAGCTCTGTGCTTTTTCTATACCTGGTAGAGTTCTGCCCAATGACAGTCATTCCTCATTCAAATAACTCAGGCCAGTACCAAAGAAGTAAACAGAGAGCAGGAAAGATCAGGAAGAGAGTGATGAAGGACAACAAAATAAAGAGAGGATACAGATAAAGATATATTTAGGAGAAAGAGAGACAGAGGGGGAGTGAGTGACACGAAGCAAATGGTGACCTTTGCAAAGATGGATTTGTTTACCAACAAATGTTCTCGCTGTCAGCACCTGCTAGAGTGACCTTCACGTGGAGACAGAGCTGACGGCAGTCATCTGTTCATCTTTGGGCCCACTCCTCAATTCAACAGAAATCATGAGACATGTTTCCTCACAAAGGCCTTCGTTCCACTGACTGCACGCAGGACCATTTCATCATTATCAGCTGTAATCATGTAGGCCAACACTAACAGGCGGTAATTCTTCATTTCATTAATGGGTTGGAGTGATACGTTTATGAACAGATATAGGGATCGAAGATATTAATAACTTGTCTTTAGGTAAATGAGTTTGATATTTGTGCATTGATTGAATTTGCACTATATTATTATTATTCAATAGTCTTATAGGGTAACCTGTGCTTTTTAAGACGAATGACTTCTGAGTTTAAAGGTGCCTAATAAGCTAACTGTAGATTTACGAGTTACCTTTAAAAAGTCTGTATCGGTAGAGTTTAACTAGAATCCGAGAAAAACTGTCTATGTTAACATAAAATACAATTAGACATGCATTATTTTAATTGTGTCTGGTGTTAATGTGCATCCATTTGTGGACTTTTGCTAAACATCTTTACTTTTTCACCTTAACGTGTGTGCTGCACCTAGGTTTTCTACAAACAGGAACACACCTCATTGAAGTGGTTGTCCAGTTAAAGCAGATCATTTTCACAGGTATATACAGGTTGATAGTGTTACAATGAAGCTAGTAATAGTGTTGCGTCACCTCCCTAGTTTACACTATCAAATAAAGGTAAACATACTCTCAAACTAAGTAAATAAACAATAGTTTGGGAACATTAAAGCTTAACACTGCCTTTGTATCAGGCCCAGCAGTAATCCATGCAGCCAGCAGATGACAGTGTTGATCTAAAGCAGATCATTTGCGTCAGTTTAATAACAACACTAAACAAACAATGGAAATGATAGCTTTAAATAAAGCAGCTTAAATAAGACCAATAATAAGTTGAATTAAAACTGGGGTAGTCAGCATGGGAGCGAAAGACTTAACCGACATGCATATCATTTTGTAATGATGTGATAAATTATACACTATAATAATATAATTTCCTCTTTGACATGAGCTGTGGGTGACCACCAAATAATACTATGATAGTTATATTCAGATCGTTTTTTACGGCCAGCATACAGAGTAAAAATATCTAAATAAAATGATTACAGAGCCGGATGCACTTTACGTGAAAACATAGGCCCACCACCACACCCTACAGCTCTCCACTTATTTTAAAAAGGCTGGTGTCTGGATCTGGTCCGTGTGGAATAAACAATCTCAGGCCATGATTTATAAATCATTTTCACTCAGACAGGACCACTGAACCAGTATCTTAAAAAGCGTCTGCTGTCTGATAGCATCCACTGTGTCAATATTATTGAGGTTTCAAAATCATGCTTCTGTGTTCATTTAGTGAATTATCCTGAAACTATTTTATAATATCTCTCTTGGAGTACACTATAAAACAACATTAGTCTATAATTAGACAGTTTAAGTAGATTAATCTGTATTATAAGTCTTAGTAAGCACCTAAACTGTTAATATATAGATATGTTTAAATCATCATAAACTGCCTAATATAGGAACGTATTAAGTGCTGTTAACTGCTTGATATACATTATTTTTATTTCGATGACTGTGTATGTTATAAACCTTAAGATAATAATCTTAGTATAGTGCCTATGCTTTGAGAAAGACATTTGTTTTATTCATTTTTCAGAGCAGCTCCATATTTGTTGTGTGCAAATAAACACATTTACAGTCTCAATCCCTGCCTGCCTGCTTGTTTAATTATTAAGTGTCTGTGCTGTCTGGAAGGAAGCTCAGGCAAAACTCGGAGAATGTGTTGAAGAAGTGCTGCAGAAGCTGCTGCTTCATCTTTTGATACCATCACAGTAGAATAGCATATACAGAAATGTATAAAGCATCATGAGGACTCGCCTACTACTGCGTTGACCGTTTTTAAATGAATCCAGACATTACAGAGTGGACCTGCAGAATTAAACATCTTTGGTTTTGGTCACGCCCCCCTCTCTTTCACTTCAACAATGGCTTTTCTCATGCACCCAAACTATTTGTCACCACAGTGACGTGGTTTCGGAAGTGCCTGCACTATACTTTACCTTAAGGGCATCAGAACAAAGCCTTGCTTTCATATTCAGGGCCATGTCGTGCCTCTGTGACAGCAGAAAGGGATATGGTTGGCATTAGGGTGTAACGCAGCAATAAGTGAAGAGCCAACAGTGTCTGCTTTGGTAATTACTGTTTCTGTCTGCTTCCGGACAGCGCTAATTTATCTACCACAGACTAGGAAATCCCCAAACTACAGAACAAAACAGACAGAGGAGTGTAAAACCTGAAGTGTCTCCAGAGAGGCGGGTATGTACCTTTCATGTACACCATATGTAATAAGCTATTAAATCAATTAAGTGCCCTTTTCAAATGTGGAATTATTCCATTTTTAACCAATTATATCAACAAACTGAATCTGAGTACAATAGTATGCTAAACAGTTACTGACGGGTGGTTTGAAGATTTGGTTTACCCAGTTTCATCACCACAAGATATATATTTTATTCATAGACCAGCAATAATACACAAAAATATAAAGCATCACATCCACTTTTTATAGGCAGAGAAATATAAAGGGTATATTTGTATACAAGACATCCAAAAAGACAAATTTAGAGCACATACATAAATCACAACTAATAACAACGATAACAGTGAACACTTAAAACAAGGCGGGAAGTCTCACTTTATATAAATGAAAAATTTGCTTGCAAAATATAACCAACTTATTACATTGACTATGGGGTAGGTCTGAATAATTCATCTGCATTTTTATCAAAATAAACATCATACAGATTTAAGAAATATATTTGTATGGAGCAGATAGTCATAAATTATCCCACCATTCACATTTAAATATATTTTACTCTCAATATCGTAAATAACATTCCAATTGCAATTTCCATCAAAATTAATCTTTCTCTTTTTCAAAAATGTTCAACCCTCCATTGGGTTGAAAAGAGCCATTTAGGGTAACAAATGCTGCGTTCAAGGACCCTATAGCTCTATGGCGAGCTGTCTCAGATTGGTAGATGCTACTTTCTCTGAAACCATCCCACCTTATAGTTTTAGGGTTTAAAAGTCATGATCATTTAAAAGACATCAAAAATCTTTTGGATTCTTCAGTAAAATCGTATGGCTTGGCTGTTCTCTAGAGTCCCTATAAATGTTAAAGACTAGCACCACTGGGCTAACATTAACATCAATAGCTGGGTTAATGTAAATAAGTACTGTAAAACCATTCAAAATATTGTCCGTGTTCACCCACTGTGTCTTTGTTCAGTGTTATAGAACCAGAAGGAAATCGATCCACTTCCACCACAGTGGGCGGCTGAAAGGAAACGGGGCCAAAGCTAAGACTCTGCTTTTCTATCAGCAAAAAGCTTTTCTCAACATTTTCTTTTTCAGGTTTTCATTTGCCCGTTTCAAAACCATCAACATTATAAAGGTTAACGGTGGCAATATATCACATGTATGTACTACATGTACATATACCTAAAACAAAACAAAAAATAGGGACATCAGACTTTGAGAAGCTACTGTTATTTACATGCCTCTGCCCATCTAAACATGTCCCTTTGTAAAGAGCTGTGCTTTGTCCTGAAACTGCCTCGTCCTCACATGTAGAAAAATACAAGGTTAGCATCCCCAGATCTGGAGCAGTTGTTCTTTTCATGTGTATGCAAAAACACGTTATCATTTTACGCTCCTACAAAAATAATTGGTAGCAAAATAGACTTTAACGTCTGAAGAGTCATGTATCTGTCCTTTTCACTGGTTTCTGTACATAATTCAGCTGTTTGTTATTTTCACGGTCCTGAGTGTGCAAAAATTCAATATCACTGATGGCAAAAATAAGACCAATGTTATGGACTGCTGAGAGAGAAAATTAAAAAAGCAAAGGCATCTTCCTGCTCCCTTTACACAGCCCTCTGCACAGCACACACAAGTGTTCCACATACACTTTGTGTACAATGTATAATTTAACTAAAAGTTTACAGAACAGTAAAGTATGTGAGATGTTTTCAAGTTCTGTGTAAATCATATACTACCTAGTACACAAATACACAAGCTGCAAATTATTTAGCAAATTGGCAAATCTTCCTGAAATGAATACAGGATTATTTCATACAATCTTCTGACAAATCCACGACAGCTGTAAGCTACAACTGTAATGAAATGTAGTTTGCCGACATCACTTTACTAGCGTATTAACATTTAATTAAGTGCACCATCCTCCTGATCACATTTGAAGAGTGCCACTGTCTTTTTTAAGTACTCATATATGGGTTTGGGCTTTGTTCTGCAAACTCTTATCTGTTGAGACACTGTGTTATTTGTATAACAGGCTGCATATGACAGTATGAAAACGTAAACAAATGCGGTTACTAGGCTTGCAGTATATTCCTTCACACAGTGTTTACAAATGGCGGTTGAACATTGCCGTTATATTATTAATTTTCAATCTATCTCACTGGGTCACATTTGTAAATGTCTTCATAACCTATCAAATGCCCAAATACAGAAACAAAGTCAAGTGAAATGCATAACATGATCTTATACATGCTTTACAAAATAAATGCTTAAAAAAAATATTTTTTTATATCCACTTTTCACTATAACATCTGTACAAAATAAAATGTAAAAATTATGAAAAATGAAATTTAAACAAAAGAGTAAAGAAATAAGAATCTCTTCCAATGAGAAATAAACTCCTGCCTTTGCTACAGCCTTTCTGGCACGTATTCATTGCCATTATAATAAATCTGGACATAATGTGGAGATCACACTAACCTGGTATTGCTTTAATGCACTTGTCCCCTTTCGCCACAAACAACATGAATATAAAAAGTGCTACTGACAGCGGGTGGGGAGGAAGGACTGAGTTACAGACTGAGGATTGGCTGAATCGGGTAAGGGTGGGGGGGTCTCATCGTCTTTCCGTAGTTGTGTAGCGTCTCTTGCCTGAATGCAGTCTGTGTGTTTTTAGTCTCTGACAGGAAGTGGGAGGATGAAGAGTTTCCCTAGGAGACGCTAGAGCAGCGGATGCTGGGGGAACCCATTTGTGTGAGCACCTTGTCGAGCCACTGCAGGGGGCCGTTCAGGTGCAGCTCGATCCAGCAGGGGGTGCTGGTCACCGTCTGTCGCCTGGGAGACACAGGAGAGCACAGAAATGTGTTGACTACAGGGAAAAGCTGTTGAGAGCAAATGTTTGGAGGTCAACTTAAAGTAGGAGGTTTTGTTCATAAACATTTGTCACCTTTGTTATATACCCCTGAAAGACTTAAGGATGTACAAAGTGATGATAAGGTTTCTCCACTGACACATTTGTTCTTCATTATAGTAAAAGATAAACCTTAGAAGAGGCAAAATAAACAAAACCTTTCCAGACATTCAACCTCTTCACCTCCATATCCTTTGGTGATTCCCTGATTCCCCACAGCGTTCATACGAAAACCCTCTCTGCTTTTAACACAGACGAGAGGAGAGGCAAAAGTGTCCATAGTAATATAATGTATGAGTCTAAGTGGAGCTAAGTGACAGCTCTTATGCCTGAAGTGCCTGGGGAAAGACCAGCATCAGCTGCACAACACATTGCAGACACTGTAGGAAAAAAAGCAGTTTGTATGAGCTATAAAAAAAGAGGGATTATATTTCCAAAAGAGTTCTGGTTACAGTGTTCCTCAGCCAGGGAAATAATTCTTGCCATCTTTTCTGACAAATCATGTAAAACTGAATGTTTTATCTGGTTTAGTGATAAACCAAACCCCATGTTTTGAGGCGACTTGAAAGAGGCAAGTGAATCAAATAACCAACACCATAATCTTTCAGTCAATGCCAAGAACAACAGCAGGCAAAATGTATCCTGTATGTTGTTATACATCTAATTTAGGCATTGGCGAGCCAGATGAACGGAGACACTTGCCAGCTGCGTGATTTCCCTCTGGTTTATGTGGTTTGTTTGATGAGTGCTGGCAACACAGCTTCTGTCTGAATTCATTTGGTGCAACAATTATAGTTTTTTTATTTCATTTTTTCTGGTTATGTTTTTTAAGTAGATTAAAAATGATTAAACAGGTAAAAGGAACAAAAGAGTTTAAAAAAAAACAACGGCGAGCCAGCAGTGAAGCAGACGGAGAGAGTGAGCTGTGGGCTGAGGCCTGGCTGCTCCAGTAACCTGAATCCTGTTTTTAAGTGTCTCCACATGTCAGCATTTAGTCTGGACAGGACTGGTAGGCAGTCGCTCTCAGCGCAAAGGTTTCCCCTGGAGGAAATCTCCTGTGCCGAGCCGACTTTCAGCCAATCAGCAGCTCCTCGTGTATTCAGTCTCCTCTTTTCTTACTATCAGTGAGTCACACTGTATGGAAAACAGGGAGGGTAAGAGGGAGGGAAAGTCTGACATTTCTTTTTGACACAGCACATGTGTGTTTGCTTAAAAATGGTCTGGGGCCCGTTTCTATTGATGAGGGCTCGGCGACGTCACGCACCGGATTCACCCGAGTGTGAGCAAATGCCTGAGAGCGGGGGCGGCCGGACTGTGGGATGTGATTCACATACTGTTAGTTTCTATTGTCTGTGTTTACATAAGGGCTTGCTAAGGACTTTGCATAACGGTGCTTCTGACAAGTTGGTTGAGGGTTTTATTATCCGGTTAAGCAGTTCAGCTCTGGGTTACCGTTAAGAAAATGAGAAAGTGGTTGTCATTGAACCACAGCTGATGTGTGTCAGCAGCTCACCTGTACTCGGCTCCCCAGCCCTTAACGAAGCTCATGCGGATGGTGCACATCCTGGTGAGTTGGTACACAGCCTCGAAGCCCTGGTTGACCGACTGGGCCAGCAGGGCCGCAAACTCCTGGTTGTTGAAAATCTTCAGGTTACATCCTGTAGAGAAGGAAAACAAACACACAAACAAGAGTGAAGCCACACCAACCGGTCACAACCACTTTGCTCTCACTTTATTCATTAGGGTACATACGACTGGGGACAGAGGGTTGGCTAAAACTCATCGTATACAGTATAGCATTTTGCGACAGGGTGAGCTAAACAAATTGATTAACTGTCTAACGGGATGTCACACTGCATTGTGGGTAATGGATGGGTAATGCTCTGAATATTAAAATGCTTCCACAAAGGTTTTATTAAAAACTTTTTTTGACCGCAATAATGTATTTAACCTACACATTTAAATAATAACAAAGTAATATGCAGTTATATAGTATATAGTAGATAGAATAGAATAATGATATATAATAATTAAATAGTAATAGGCAGTTATAGACATACAAACAAAGATGTCTCAAAAAGGTGCCCCATTGGTTACATTTAGCTGCCTCAGTTAGGGAAAACACAACTGTATTATTTTATTTGTGAGCACATGGGGAAAAAAACGTCTGTTTCAGCTTCACACTGACCTGGGGGGATTTTGCAGACGGTGGCAGGGTGCCAGCCGTAGCGCTGGTTACAGTTGGGGCTCTGGACAAAGATGGCGCTGTCACTGAGACACTCAGCAAACACTTCTCCTCCGATGTAATACAGCCGCACCCCGCGGCCTTGAAGAAATTAAAATGAAGTTTTGAGAAATGACAAATGCAGAGGGATGTATTGTTCGTTATTGGTATTAAACCAATCATATGTGCAGAGCGGATGTAAAATCCACAGTACCAATATGTCTGCGCGTTAGCTCCAGAGCTGCGTTGCGGTTGACGTTGGACAACAGGCCCAGGCAGAACCGCTCTGAGTTGGAGGGGTCCGTGAAGCCGTCCACTGTCAGCGAGGGCTGGGAGGCGTGGAAGGTCTCTCCTACTCGCTGGTTCAGCTCGTAGTAGGAAATAGAGCACCAGAAGGCCGGCTCGCAGTATGTGACTGGCTGAAGGTCTGACACAGAGAGGGAGAAAGACACAGTTCGCTTTCATCATCAGACAGAACTGAGAACAACAATGTAGATATCAGGGAGGCTGTGAATATATTTGAATGTGCATATCAATAATGCAATGCTTGAAATAATACAGAAAATAAATGCCTTACAGTAGACAGGATTCAAGGTTTAGAGGATAAGAAGTGCAAATCAGAGAAATAATTGCAGAAAACAGAAGGGAATTCAAATGAAGAGCAACTGAAGCAAGGAAGAGGTCAATGTGGGGAGAAAAGGGGTTGAGGTGGATGTTGAAGGGGGAGAAAAACCTAACCAAAGAAAACATTCGGGCCGAGCTTGCGTCACAAAATGTCAAATCCATACGCTGCTTCCCAGAAGCTTTCACCAGACCTAATGTGGAAACTTAACCCTCACTGGTGGGACGTGGAGCCAAAATGGTCAAATTACAGGCCTATCCAAGATCATTTTCAGTAACTTCCACTGGTTCTGGTCATTTGCTATTTCCCCCTCAACATGGCCACTCTCTAACAACCTCAACATTTCGTCCTTGGCTTTGAAGTCCAGATCAGAGCTGGAGTCTGCTGCCAAATGAAACTGGTGTGATTTTGTTATTTAACCAGAGGCTTTTCAGACAGGCCCCCCTGGAGTTTTCCCGTACTGATATAATAAACAACGGATATTGTCATTGAAGTCAGTGAGGGCTGAATGGTGTCTTGGCCTGTTCAACAGCGAAGACAAAGGCTTCTTTCATCACCTGGTTTCCTCTTACAAGAAAACCGACTCAGATCAAACAGAGTATTCCCACTGGGGAAATACACTATTTAAAAATGTGTCTGTAAGTGAAGGCATGCAGACAGAGAGGTACACAAACACACAGACACACATAAACACAATTTACCTAAGTTGCTGTGTGTGGGTGATACAGGGTTAGGTGACAGGTTTGGGGAGCTGGTGTCCATGCTGTGGGTCATCTGGTGATCGCTGGTCTCTCCATCCTCACTGAGGTAACCTGGAGGTGGCGTTTCTGAAACACGCAAAAACAAACAGACAATCGCAACAACTTGAGTTCAAGGTCCTTCGAATATATCATTTGCAAATGTCTGCTGTATACGTATAGTAGCTGGCTGATTGAAAGACTACAGAAGAAGACAAAAACACTGTCAATCTACAAATTATTACACAACATTCAATCAACATCAAATAAAATACAATTTAATGATGTGTTTAAAACTGATTGTGAGGTGGGAGTATGTTAAATAACAATTGTTGAACCGTTTAGATCGGATGCTAACGTGTTATCACTGTGTCAGACTGAAAGGGGTGAAGGCACTTAGAACCACAACCAATTATATAAGTCAATTATCTTTTACAGTGACAATGCAGGGAAAGAGCGAGGCTTGTCAGAGCTCAACCGAGAAACAAAAGATTGGATTTACTAAAAGCATGGACCACAAACATCTGAACTACTTCTGGTCCGCAGGATAAAATCTTCTCTTAGGAAGAACTTTTGATAGGTAGAGTGATGATGTGTTGCAGTGAACGAGCCATGTTTATGTTAACCGTTTGACCCTGGGATACATTGGATAATCACACTTTTTGTAAATAATTTGTATCCAAGTTATGATGTGAAGGAGTTTCTGGGTGGGATCCATGTTAGGGAGCATTAGTACCTGGTATGTAGTTGCACTGGGGCTCAATGCCTGCAGGGAAGTTGGTGTTTTCTGGGATCGAATGGCTGTAATCATCCAGAGGTGGGAACTCACTGGGGATCTCGGTGTGTCTGGGCACCAACACAGGGGGGAGGACTGTAGGATGGACACGTAGACAAACACAACAAGTAGTTATTAGAAAATAGCAATAGTGATTGGTTTCATGTCTGGGTAACATAAATAAACAGTGTAGTAAATAACAGGGGAAGTATTTGATTAGCTCTCTATATACAACCAAGTCACTTAAAGTTTGTTTTGGAAAAATCCATAACTTCAGAGAAAAGGGCCCTCACAGCAAAATGAGATAAATCTAGACAAACTGTCAAACGTCATCCTTAAAAATACTTGGAAAACTCTATGAGGAAATGATAAGAAGAGATAAAGGCACTCCAGCTCGTACCAGGCGTCTCCACTCTCTGGTAGTGGTACGGGTTGACACACACTTCGTCCTTCTTGGTGTGGAAGGCGTACTCGCACAGCTCCACCGCCCGCAGCTCGTGGTGGGACTGCAGGTCGGGCCAGCGCCACAGGCGGCAGTAGATGACGTGAGGCAAACCTTTCCTGTGGGAAACCTGCAGGCGGCCATCCAGAGACCTGCAGGAGGAGAGGAGGAAGCAGAGATGTTCGTCAAAAACCTTTCAAATGAAATACTGAATACCTGCATCATGATATATTTATCGTAGCGCCAGATTTTGCCAATACACAGCCATATAATAAACGTACTTGTATTCTGATCTTTCTTTCACACTTAAGATTCTTAATTCTGTCCTCCAAATCATCTTTAGCACTAGTGTTAATTTCGTTGACTAAAACTATGACGAAATATGTTCGTCAACGACCTTTTTTTCCATGACTAAAACGAGACGATGACGAGACGGCACCGACGGCAGTAAACAATAACTGTAACGAAATCAACATGCAATATCGTTGACGAAAAGTGACGAGACGAAAATGTAGTTTACTAAATAAAAACTATGCCAAAATCTCTCTTTACTTTCGTTGACGAAAAATGAGGAGACGAAATATTATCAAAGATAACGTTACATCTCTGATAGTCAGTTTTTCTCCCAGCAGCTCCATTTCCGGTGCTGCGGCTGGGCAGCAGCTGTGTGTCTGTCCTGCGCGTGGCGGTACATTTGAATTACACCGGGCAGCGGCACAATATGAACTGTCAGGAAGACTCGGGTCTAACTCATGGTCTAACTAACCTTATTCAACAGAAAAAAAAATGGCAACAACAGGGCTTGGGAGCAGTGGTCGCGTTAACCGAATACCAGGGCTCTGACACTGACCTCCTGCTGATGAGAATCCCAGCTGTGTGGGCACCGGTTATGAGGCGATATCTTAGAATAAACATCCGCCTTTGAGATTTCAGTGTGTATAACAGGAGTTTCATTGTGTTGTTTAACATCTGCACTCATTTTGTATACAGGATGATGGTTTCCAGATAGTAATGAGTCATTGTTTGACGCTACAGATTGTCATAATGGGCATGTAGCCTTTAATCTCTGAGCACATTGACCCAAAAACACACTTGTCATCTTATGCAAGAGGCCATGACCATTATGTCCTTCTATCTATCTGTCTCACCCACTCACTCTCACACAGACACAGAGTAGGGGTCAAAGACGTAAGCTAAAGCCCTTTAGAAGGACAAATGTCAGTCCACAAATAAAAAAACAAACAACTGAACTCTCAGCAGAGCCCCATCTGGGTCAGCCATTGTACTTCTTGCAAGCAGAGAATAGAGTTTTAATTTTTCATGGCAAAGGCTTTTATTCAAGTCCTCTGTACTTTCAAATGGACTGTGGAGAGTGTGTGTTTGGGGGAGGAGCCTTGAATTTGTAAAGGGTGTCTGAGTACGTTTAGTGCACACAAGCATACAAGAGCATACTGTACAGTTGAAAAGGAAAGCTATCACAAGAGGATACAAAACAGCCTGAAAGTGAGAGGCGGTGTGCACTCTTAAATACTTGTACAGTATGATAAGATTTCCCATACAGTGAATACAGTTGCTATAATTTGTAAACATTTTTAAAGCCATTTCTTTATTTAGCAGTCCAGTAGCCACCATAACAGAAGTGAAAGTTGACCGCAGCTATTATTTTAATCAAATACACATAAAACAGCAATGTTTTTCTTCAGAAATAATAGAAACCTGACTCGGTGTCCAACTCTTTTTACTTTCAGTTTTGTAAAGAACGTCTTCTTTTTAAAGCTTTTGCTTGGTATAACATTATTATATTTCAGAATGAGCTAAAGCAACACCATGCAGGTTATCACAGCTTACACATACAAAAAGGGAAATGAGCAACAGTATAATATTCATAATAATACAAATCTTTGACATCATGGCTAGGAGCATAGAAATCCAGGCAGATTTCAGAAACTGCGATAAATATTACTGCTAATAATGTCAACTTTTTAAAGTTGAATTGTACCTAGTAACATATAGTTACTTCTATACCTGATGACTGATGTCTTTCAGTAAATGTTACTGAGGTTCTACTTGACGTGACCGGTGTTCCTCTTTTCTAATGCCGTTTTCCTGTGTTTAGCATGCATTGTGATTTATTGGTTCCATTTCCCTTTACCACAATTCATCGGTTTTTTGGTTTCAGTTCGTGAATGATGTGACCTTTTTAAGTCACCTCAATAGTCACCTAAATATGTTGTTCTCAAGGAGAGGTTCAGTTAGGGACAGGAAGGAACATCATCTTCCCTGGCTGAATCTACAATGCAGGAATTTGATTAAATCTAGAGACCAACTATTAAAGCAGAGCTTAAAATCCGGACTATCCACTGATAGACAGAAATTCACTCATGCTCGTAACAAAGTAACACAAACAATAAGACAGGCCAAAGCAAACTTTTTGGCAAAATCTAAATAAACTACTAGGTAAACATAAGAAACAGGAAAATAATAATGCCCTAGAATTAAAAATCAATGATGCCCTGATAAAAGACCCTGCAGTATTGGCCAGCACTCTAAATGAGTATTTTATAAATAGTGCTCTGGACATCACAAAGCTTTTCCCGCCAGCTGAAGTCTCACCTAGCCCGACTGTGGATACACATCCAGTTTTTGACCTGGAGGAAATCACAGAGGTTGAGGTAAAAAATATAATCTTAGGGTTAAAATGTTCTAAGGCTAGGGATGCAGATGATTTAGACACCAACTTTATAAAAACACATATTGACAGTCTAATAAAACCAATTACTATGCTAGTAAATCAATCTATCAGCACGAGGGAAGTTCCATCATCCTGGAAGGTGGCTACGGTGACACTGATCTTTAAATCTGGGGATAAGGCAATAATGTCCAATTACAGACCAATCAGCATCCTCCCCTGTGTCTCTAAGATAGCTGAGAAATGGGTGTCAAAACTAAATCACCAAACATTTAGACAAAGGTTTCGCTCCACTCCACCCAATGCAGTTTGGTTTTTGTGCTCACCACTCCACTGAGACAGCTAACTGTGTCTTTGTGGAAAAGGTTCAATCTATGTTGGACACAAGCCCATATGTAGGTGCTGTCTTCCTTGATCTCAGGAAGGCTTTTGACACTGTTGACCACCAAGTGCTCCTTACAAAGCTGACGTATTTCAATTTTTCTGTAGATTCGATACAGTGGGTTAGGTCTTACTTATCAAACAGAAAACAGTGTGTTTTGGTCAACGGTACCAAATCCCCCTACCTTGTCAACCCTGTTGGGGTTCCACAAGGTTCCATTCTTGGACCATTACTGTTTTCTCTGTACATTAATGACTTGCCGAATGTATGTCCTGAGTTGAATGTGCAAATGTATGCCGATGATGCGCTCATCTTTGTACACGGGAAAAATACTGAAATAATCACATCATGTCTCTCAAATGCATTGGACAAGGTTCAACACTGGCTGAACAACATTTGCTTACAGTTAAATGCAAAAAAAACAGTATGCATGATGTTCAGTAAACGACCAGTCAAAATGGAAGGATCAAACGTGTTTTTAAACGGAGCAGAAATAGAACTAGTCTCCCACTTCAAGTATCTTGGAGTCATACTGGACTCGAACTTGACTTTTAAGAAACAAATCAAGAAAGTATCCAACACCGTTAAATTCAACTTGCAACATTTTAAACAAATTAGACCTTTCTTAACTGTCAATGCTGCAAAGTCATACCTCCACTGTATGATTCTATCCCACATTGAATACTGTTTGACAAACTGGTCGTTTGCTTGTGCCACAAACCTGAAACCCATAGAACAGCTGTCCAAGAGAGCTATCAAGGTGTTTGACAGAAAGCCTAATTCATACCACCACTGTACCATCCTTGAGAAACAACATTTCTTGAGCTTTGACCATTTTAAGTCTTTTAAAAGTATGTGCTTTATTTATAAATGTTTACATGGACTGCCCCCCCCCCCCTCCCCCCCTTAGGGGAATTCATCCACAGAAAACACACTGGACGCTGCACTAGGTCAGAAACCAGAGGAGACTGTGAAGTAGGGCTGTGCGATTATGGCAAAAATCATAATCACGATTATTTTGGTCAATAATTGATATCACGATTATTTAATACGATTATTCATTGACTTTGAAAACATCCATTTATTGAACTTTAAAACAAATACAAATAATCATTTGAACAGTATCTTTTTAACTGTTGATTACCCTGAACGTATAATTCAACTGAAAAACCAATACAAAAATAAACGATACATTTATATTAACATTTAAATAAATAATATCAAAATGATAAATACAAATCAACAAATATGTTGGTGCGCACATCCACAAGCTACTAAACATATATAAATATGATAAATAAAAATAAATTAGACTAAAATAAATTAGATCAAATATGTTGCACTGTCACAACCTAGCAAAGCAAAATAATCGTTTTTTTCAATTATGTTGTTTTCGTAATTGAGGCAGGCCAAAATCGTAATTGCGATTAAAATACGATTAATTGCACAGCCCTACTGTGAAGTCCACCGTAGACGGACCACCTTTGGACAAAATGTCCTCTCCGTTAAAGGCAGCTCATTGTGGAATAGCCTCCCAACTGAGATACGGGATTGTCCCACTCTCAATAGTTTTAAAGGTCAACTCAAAGAATGGTTGAGAAACAAACATACGTGTAATCACCGCTAAATGCACTTTAACACAGGGGTATCTCCTCTTGCACTTTATCTAGCTCTTTTATCTCCTCCTGCACTTTACATGTCGTAGCTGCTACATTGCACTGCCATGTGGTAAATGCTTCTATGCTGCTCATGCTCTTTCTGCATATCATGTATTTCTGTTTGCCATGTATATAAATGTTATGTTCATAAATGTTGTATGTGACGGGACTACGGATGGAAACTAGCTCAAAGCTAAAATCCGGCTCATTTACATTTCAAAGCATTATTTTGTTTAAAATGTTCATTAATGTCCCGGTTCAAATAAATGATTAAATGAAAAAATGAAAAAATTGTCACTCCTTATTAAAACTAATTGGTCCTTGATTTGCAACCTTGTATTAAAATGATTGGACCAAATTAATGAAACACAAAGACAGTTGATCAGTTGAATCCCAGCTACAATGAAAAAAGAAACTGCAAAG